CCAGCCACTCTCAGAAATCCTATAGAGTTGCTCTGAGTGGGAACTGACTGAACAGCACAGAACAATTCCAAAAGAGGAATCCTGGGATGGTACTGTAGGATAAGCACTGGACTGCTAACCAAAAGGTCAGCAGTTCAAACCCATCAGCTGGTCACTATGAGTCAGAACCGATTCAAGGCACTTAACACAACAACATTCCAAAGGAACTTAACAAACATTTGTTTAACAGTAAGGATGAAATGCTCACCTTAGCTTTATGTATACAAACACAGAGCTTTATAGATGAAAGAAGCTTTTTCATATATCTCATCTGGTTCCAGGACTCCTGGTATGGCGCTATAGGATCAGCACTGGTAACCACAAGGTCGACAGTTCAAATCTACCAACTGCTCCTCAGAATTCCTGTACAGACAGGGTTGCAATGAGTCGGAACTGACTCAACAGCATTTAACAATAACAACAAGCATTCTGGCTCCAAGGTTCATGGTGGTGGTGGTAGTTACATATTGTAGAATTGGTTCTGACTCATAGTGACCCTGCATAGGGTTTCCGAGGCTATAAATCTTTACGGGAGCAGAAAGCCTCATCTTTCTCCCTCGTGTGGCACTGTGGGTTAATGCACCAGACTGTAAAGCTGTTTGAACTGCAAGGTCGGCAGTTCAAGCTCACCAGCTGCTCCTCGGAAACCCTATACAGGAGTCACTATAGGTCAGAATCGACTCAACGGCACTTGACAACAACAACAAGTAGCTGGTAGATTCAAACTGCTGAGCTTGTGGTTATCAGCGCCAGACTGCAAAGCCGTTTGAACTGCGAAGTCGGTGGTTCAAGCTCACCAGCTGCTCCTTGGAAACCCCATACAGGGTCGCTATGGGTCAGAACTGACTCGATGGCACTTAACAACAACAACAACTCAACTACTAACCTACAGGAGTCCTGGTGTGGTGCTGTGGGTTAATTCACTAGACTGACTGTAAGGTCAGTTTGAACTGCAAGTTCTGAGGGTCAAACTCACCAGCCACTCCTTGGATATCCCTATACAGGTACAGTATGAGTTGGAATAGACTCGATAGCACTTAACAACAACTAATCTGCAAATTGGTGGTTCAGGCCCAGAAGAAGGCCTCTGGCAATCTCCTTCCATCAGTATGATAGCCAAGAAGGTAGCAAGGTAGCAGGAGACACAGAGAGAAATGCAAGAGTTAATTGAATAGAGGCGAATGGAGGGGACTAATCATTCTCATGAAACAAAGTGTATGATTTGTTGAATGTAAAATGGATGATCTGCTTTGTAAACCTTCACCCAGTTTACAATAAAAACTTAAAAAACAAAACAAAACACAGCTCTACTCTCCATGACTCAGAGTTCACTCCATGGCAAAGGATTTGGTTGTGGTTGTTTTTAAATCTGGCCCTCCACTTTATATTGAGGGGTTCAAGCTGAAGGACTGAGATTACAACTCCAAACAACTGAAATACTGTTGTTATTAGGGGCTGTCCAGTCCACTTCATCTCATTAGGATCTCATGTAACAGAGCAGAACTGGCCTGTAAGGTTTTCTTGGTTATAATCTTAACTGAGGAGTCTTGGTGTGGAGCAGCAGGTTAATGCACTGGACTTCAAGGTCAATTTGAACCACAAGGTCGGTAGTTCAATCTCACCAGCCACTCTTCAGAAACCCTATACAGGGTCACTATGAGTCAAGACAGACTTGAAGACACTTAACAATAAACAACAACAATCTTAACTGCAGTAGACCACCAGGACTGTCTCTCTAGAATTCTGGGTGGGTTCCGAGTACCGGCCTTTCAGTTAGCTACCTAGCTTGCACTCAGCCATTATACCACCAAACAGGATATCTCAAATACCCAGAGCTAACAGGAAAAAGATTATTTTGATGTGCCACAAAGATGCAACTTTTCTATTATTGGTGGTGTTTTTAAGAATCATCCAGTTGGTACGGACTCACAGTTGAGTCTCTACAGGGTTTGAACCGCAGACCTTATGGTTGAAAGAGACCTTGTGGTCCAGCGTATTAACCCACAGCGCCACACCAAGACTCCTTTCTATCGTTACTTCCTTATATTACAGTCTCAGAAACCCTGTTTAGGGTCGCTATGGGTCGGAACCGACTCAATGGCACTTAACAACATATTGCTTTTAAGGAGCTCTGGTAGCATAGTGGTTATGAATTGGGCTGCAAACCTTTTAAGGTCAGCAGTTCGAAACTACCAGCTGTTCCGCAGAACAGCTTTCTGTTCCCGTAAGCAGAAAGATGAGGCTTTCTGCTCCCGTAAAGATTTACAGTCTCGCTCCCCAACATAATACTTTTGGAATCTTGATGTGGTGCTGTATGATAAGCATTAGACCACATACATGGTCCGTTTGAACCGTAAGGTCAGCGGTTCAAACTCAAGAGCCACTCCTTGAAAACCCTATACAGGGTCACTAGGAGTCGGAACGGACTCAATAGCACTTAATAACAGCATATTAATTTTAGTGTGATTTCTACTAGTTATGTCAGTGCTAGATACCCCACCCCTTTCTTGTACCTTTAATTTTTTGTTGTTTTAATTTGTTCTTAGGAATTGCAGTGTTGCAACTTCTTCAGGCAAACCCCCTGCCACTGAGAAATGCAGCAGCCTCAAACTAAACAGGAGACGTTTCTGCAGCCTGAAGCATCTACATATGCAGAAAAATACAGCTCTGGCTTTTTCTATTTCAACGTCATCGTACCTCCGGGGAGAGGCAGACAGCCCAACTCCGTGCGCACTAGAACCCCAGCTCCCTCTGCTCCTGGAAAGGAGAGTTAGCCTTAATTTTTGTGACAGATGGAGTTGATAGTCTCTCCACGAAAAGGGGAGGGGAAAAAGCGCCAGTTTTTGACAGGCAGCAGACACCCGTTGCCTCTGGTGGCCGAAGGCTGTGTTGCGCCACAGTTAAGGTAGCTCGCAAACTCCCGAGTCAGGATTCTAGCGGCTCCTTTCCGGGCGACTTCCCAAGATTTCCTCTCCCTACAAAGTCAGCAGTTTCTGATGAGTGAGACATTGAAACGTCCATTTTAACGTAAACCCTGGTGCATGCCAATTCATCCCTCTCCTCTATGTTGTGACTGCGGCCAGATGGTGGTGGTGTTGTTAAGTGCCTGTGGAGTGGGTTCCGACTCATAGCTTGGTGGGTTTGAACCGCAGATCTTGCGGTTAGCAGTCTAGTGCTTCTCTTACATCGCCACACCTGTCCAACAACCCTGGAAATTGAAAATAAATAATGCTATTATTTCTTATTACGTTCATGTATAAATTTATATTCTCAAGAAATTAATTTTTTGGTTGAATTTATCTAGTGGTTGAAAACGACACACAAAGACCCTACCTGACAAATCTGTGAGCTAGAATTGGGAGACTGTGAAAATCAACACCCCTCTGACTAAAGATTGAGCCTTAAGCAAGTAGTCAAGGCTGCTAACAAGAGGTTGATGGTTCAAATCCCCAATCTCAAGAATTCCTTAAAGATGTACAGTCTTGGAAACCCCATGGGGCTGTTCTGCTCAGTCTTAGGAGGTCCATAGGGTCACTCTGAATCCTAAGTCAACTCCACGGAAGTGGGTTTGGCTCTTTCAGTTCTTTTTTTGAGCGCTATTTTAAGTTGAAAAAGTCTCCACATTCGATTATCTTGGTCCTCCTCCCACTTATAGGAAACGTGGAAAACAAATGAAACTCTGAATTCAGTCGACGGCACAGATGGAGACCAGAGAGAAATCCTAAAACCACTAAAAGGAAAAAAAAGAGGAAAGAGAACAAAACAAAAAGGCTGTGGCTGAGCCGGATGCAAACAGCTGCCTCTAAGCCTCGCACGCTGTTTCTGGGCGCGAGCTGGGGCTCTCACTCCGAGCCTCCTTAAGAGTGGGAGGAGCTCCTGAGCCTCTGTCAGACTCCTTAAGCCGTTCCTTTCAAGCCCTGAATGCCTGAATGTGAGCTGCCCACCACCCTCCCCGCCCTCCCCCACTCCGCAACCCTACTCCAGCGGCTCGTAAAAAAAAAAAAAAAAAAAAAAAAAAAAAGTTTCAACAACAACAGGCAGGACCAATAGTATCTCGAAAAACCGGGCTAGGGGGCCGAGCAAAGGCGAAAGAGAGTGGAGAAAGGAGAAAGCGGGCAGGCTCGGAGAGCGCGGGGCCAGAGCAGGCGAGCTGGAGGAGCGTTGCTAATGTTTTTGTTTGTTTGCTTTTCCATGCATGCATAATGAGGGGGCACCGCGGCACCACGCGGGGGCTCACGGCCCACTTTTGTATTTAAAGCCTCGCTGTGAGCAAGTCCGCAGCCGGGCTCTGCGGATCCGCTCCCCGCGCTCCTTGTCACACGAAAAGCTGCAGCGGCCACCGCCGCCTAAAGAAACCTGGGAACAGCTCTTCGACCGCCCCGAGCTCCTTGTTCTCCCCGCGCCTCCCGGAAAGGACTCTCCGGAGCTGGCCGAAGCCGGGGTCGCCGCCAGCGGAGGGGGAGGGGAGCGGCCAGGCCGCGGGAAGGCGGGCAGCGCACGGACGCCGGGCCTGGGAGCGGCAAGATGCGAGAGCCCGCGGCGGCGGCGCGGCACTGAACCGGGAGGAAGGAGTTGCAGCGGCCTCGGTACGAGCAGCCGGCCCGGGCGCGCCGGCCGCACAACGGTTCAGCTGGAGCGGAACAAGATGCCCCCGCGGCGCCGCGAGGTCTTGCAGCCCCGCCGCGGCCCCGCGCCCCGCAGTCCCCCGCCGCGGCTGTGAGCGCCTCCCGCCAGCCAGAGCCGGGACTGAGTCAGAGGGCTCCCGGGTGGAATTCGGGGTTCTTGGTGGCTGTGCATTTCTAGAAAGGACCCGCGGCTCTCGAACCAAAATCTTCTGCAACCAGCGGGACACCCGGCAGCAGCGCGCATGGATTTATGAAGACACTCATGCAAGAAGTTAGCAGGACTTTGACAAACTTTTCCACCAGCTCTACATTCGCGGCTCCCCGCGCCTCGTCTCCTTTCTCCTCCTCGCCCTGCGGCCGCCGCTGCCCGCGATGGTGGCAGGGCTATTGGGCGGCGGCAGCGGCGGCAGGGGCCGCGGGGGGACCGTGTCGGGCGCCTGGCTGTGGCTGATGGCGCTGCTGCAGCTGCTGGGCTCTGCGCCGCAGGGCTCGGGGCTGGCGCACGGCCGCCGCCTCATCTGCTGGCAGGCGCTGCTGCAGTGCCAGGGGGAGCCGGAGTGCAGCTACGCCTACAACCAGTACGCCGAGGCTTGCGCGCCGGTGCTGGCGCAGCGCGGCGGGGGCGACGCGCCTGGGGCCGCCGCCGCCTTCCCGGCCTCTGCCGCCTCCTTCTCGTCGCGCTGGCGCTGCCCGAGCCATTGCATCTCGGCCCTCATTCAGCTCAACCACACGCGCCGCGGTCCCGCCTTGGAAGACTGTGACTGTGCTCAAGACGAGAACTGCAAGTCCACCAAGCGCGCCATTGAGCCGTGCTTGCCCCGGACGAGCAGCGGCGGCGCGGGCGGCCCGGGCGCAGGCGGCGTCATGGGCTGCACCGAGGCCCGGCGGCGCTGCGACCGCGACAGCCGCTGCAACCTGGCGCTCAATCGCTACCTGACTTATTGTGGGAAGCTCTTCAACGGACTGCGCTGCACGGATGAGTGCCGCACCGTCATCGAGGACATGCTGGCTGTGCCCAAGGCGGCTCTGCTTAACGACTGTGTGTGCGACGGTCTCGAGCGACCCATCTGCGAGTCAGTCAAAGAGAACATGGCCCGCTTGTGCTTCGGCGCCGAGATGGGCAACGGCCAGGGCAGCAGTGGCTCAGACGGGGGTCTGGACGACTACTACGACGAGGAGTACGACGACGAGCAGCGCGCCGGAGGCGCAGGCAGCGAGCAGCTACTAGACGACGACGACGGTGTCCCGCGCCCGGGCGGCGGCGCTGTTGCAGCGGGTGACCACCGGGACGTGCCTTATGGGCCCGGGCGTAGGAATGGCGGTGGCCGTTCGGCGCCCAGAGTCGCCTGGACTCCGCTCGCCTCCATCTTGCTGTTGCTGCTCTTGCAGCTCTTTTAGCCTTGGCGCCCCCCGCGGTTGACTTCTGGTGGGCATGGGTCCCGCTCCAGCACGCGCTATCCAGCTCTCTCCCACGCCCGGGCACCTGTGGTCGCGGCTCGCCGCAGGGCATGGGGATAGATAGAGGGGTTGGTGGTACTTTAAACGAAACTTTCAACGTAGACTGCCTAGTTGGTTTCCCTGCCACGACTTTTGGCATTTTCCCTTTTTTGCCAGCGTGAGTTCTTGGACAGCCCCATGCCAGGCTCCAGCAATTCCCAACCGGTCTGCCCGGCAGACACCAGCTTCGCTGTCGAATTCAGAACGCCTAGAGTGAAGTGGAAGGAGCTCTGGTAGCGTAGTGGCACTGCTAATCTCATGGTCAGCGGTTCGAAACTACCAGCTGTTACGCGGGAGAAAGGCTTCCTGCTCCCGTAAAGATTTACAGCCTCAGAAACCCTGTACAGGGTCGCTATGGGTCGGAACCGACTCCACGGCACATAACAACAACAACATGGTGAAGTGGGCTTGCGGGGGACGTAACCTTAGACCTGAACTAAAAAGGGGGAGGTGCTATCTAATGGGACCTTGAAGAGTTTCAGTTCTCAAAGAACTGGACGGGGAGTAGGGGATTTGAAGGAAGACTTATTTTGTAAAAGGGCTGTTTTAATATTTTTCTTATGAAAGGACAAAAAAGTGTCGGTATCAATTTTTTTATTGACTAGAGGTGGCCAGTGAGGACATTGCAGTTGTAAGTAAGCAGAGTCAAGTCCCACTTACCCATTACTTCGTTTACACTTGATACCAATGCCCAGCATTCTTTGTGACATTGAAGAGGGGCGCGGGGAGAGTGCTTGCATTAATGGTACATGGCAAGGGGTTGATATTCCTCAATTAGTGTAGGGTATCTTCCAGCCCTTGCCTTTAATTTCATTCCTACCACTCATGATCTCTTAGGATGTTTTTTTAGGATAAGGGTCAAAAAAATGCTGACCTTAGGGATTGCTAGTGGTGTTGAACAATGCAACTTTTTTTTTTTTTTTAATTTAAAAGAGCTCTGCCCTACCATCTATGAAAACTTCCTTATGATGTCTGTTTTGTTCTTTACATCAAGAAAGTATATGTACAAATATGCGGAGAAAGTTTATTGCCTCTGCTGCTATCAGGGTGCTAACCCCTGGTATATCGTATATAAAGTGTATTGAAAACTGGAATTTATTACCAGTTGCTGTACTTTGTATATAGAATTTTTATAAATTGTATGCTTCAGAAATAATTTATTTTAAAAAAGACATTAAAAGTTTTAATTCTACAACTATGTTACATGTTTCCCCCTGAATTGTATAGTATTCATTGGCCACCAGGGATCCAAATCACAGTCCATTCGGAAGTGTGCTGTATCTTGAACAGTCCAAGTGTACAGTGTATTTTATAGATTTGAAGTTAACATTCTTATTTTCAAGAGAATTTATGGACATTGTAGAAATGTATAAATGCATTTCCAAACTGCCTTAAACATTGTATTTTTATAGACATCTTTAAAAAAAATCCTATGTTTTAAATAACTATGGTTTTGTGTATTTTTGGTTATTTGTTTTATTAAAATGTGTACATCAGTAAAGAGTTTTAAATAATGAATATGTTGTAGTTACTTTGCAAACTTAACATTGTGGTTAACCCAATAAAAAGTGAGGGGGAGGGGAAGGGTTGGAGGGGAACACACTGAGAATCTATCAACCATCAACTGAAAATACAGAACAGGACAAAAAATAAGGGCTATAATTTCTGCCTTTAATTTAATGAACAATTAAACATCTGTAAATGAGGCAGTTAAAAAGATAAAATTGACCGGTGTCCATTGGCTTTTATATTTGTTGAGAGAAGTCACAGAGCTAGTGTCTCTATATAATTTGGATAACCCAGACATCATTTTCCCCTCTCCCATTGTCATTGGTACCCATCCCACCCCCTCTCTGGCTAGTAGACATTTTCATACAATCAAACATGCCAATAACGTGGTACCAGTAGGGCTTGGAAAACCTTAAAGACTTAAGACTTCAAAGTCATTTTCACACAGTGAAAAAGTATAAAATTTTGTTACAAAACATTCAGGCAGGCAAAAGTAAACACTGGGGAGGGGAACAATTACCAGGACTTGTAATATTGTTGTGAGAAGTTGTTTAGCAGCAGGCTGAAGGCTGGGTCCCCGCCAGAGCTACTGATCTACACTCAAACGCCCTTAGATAAATAATTACACTCTTAAGCTGTGTCGAGTGCTGATACACTTGACCTTGTAAATAGAAATGTTTGCAGTAGGAATAAACTCCGGCATTGGAAAATCTTTTAAACATTAACACAAAAGAGAGCGCTCTGTCCTCTGGGGATTTGAGCTTGAACCTCGCCAAGCTAGGCACTTGCAAGGGGGAAAAAAAGTTTATTTATCTTCTATTCCTGGTGTTTATTTAAAGCTTTTCATTTTAAACGTGGTGATTGGAAGGCAAGTCAGGAGTTTAAAAAGTCACCACAAATAAACTTTGTCTGAGGGGTCGACAGATTAGCAAGATCTCGTGTCTCTTTATTTGATATTAACATGTGCTGAGAAAACATAACCAGATTTCTCTGCTGCCTAAAGTAATTAACAAAGCTATGCCCCCTTCCAACTTCCTCTAGCCACTGCCACCCCCTACTCTTCTAGGTTTCCTCAGCCTTTAACTAACAGCCTCTTAGCTCAGCTTTTGTGGAGGGAATTGAGCCACTTCGTGGACCTAAAACCAGGATTCATATATGCGTAGATTCAGAAAGTCTTAAGATAGTTGAAGTATCAAACAAGTGCCTATGAGGATGGTGTGGGGCTGGAATCTCCAGTCACCTGAATGGTTGAGTAAACATATTGTTAAAACAAAGCTGAAAGCATTGTTTCTTTGGGAAGAGAACAAAGAGGATTTGGAGAGACTTGTAAATGAAATCAGCTTTCTTTATAAAACGGAAGAGTTAGCAATCCTTCCGGCTTCATCCTTAAATATGTTTAAATCATCTCAATCTCATGTTATTTTAACACATTCTTGACTGAAAGTTAAATCTTTGTCCCAGCAAAAGCCCAGATTTTCCCCAGTAAGAAGTAAAAGGCATTAGCAATGGAAAAGGCCTGATAATTAACTGCTACAATAAACTCATGACTTGATTTTACAGGGTCCTGTCAAAAGCCTGTGCCTGGAATAAATCAACACAGCTTACTCTTGGGGTGGGGGGGAGAACACTATGCTTTATACTTGCTTCCTTATAGAAAGTGAACATTGATCAGTGGTCCATTTTAATTTAACCAATTATGCATGGGACCCAGGGATCCCCCTTGCCCCACTTGAAACTTAGTGGGTTCTAGAACACTTTGTTGGCATGTTAGGGCCAAAGGCTGGCTGGCTGTTCTGGGATTGTAGGTTGCCATCTGTTCCTAGGCAGAAAGGACTTTTACAGATGTTAGCATCTGTAATATCTCATGCTCTCAGGGGAACCTTTTGGAATTTGGGGCATTTGGCAATCTCAAATGTCTCTTGGAGAATGCCTGGAAGTGCCATTAATGAAAGGGAAGGTATCTCTGACTTTTCCTGGGGGGTTCTCAAAAAGTGCCCCCCTTCAAACAGAAGTCTCACAGGGCCAAAGGAACTCCTTTTAGAGTTCATGTAAAATTATGTGTCCTCACAGACTTTTTCATTTTCCCAGTTAGCAGGTTTGAATTCTCAATGACAGTTTATTTGTCTTTGCAGGCACTTCAGTGACAAATGTTTAAGGGAGTGTGGGACAATGGTCGAGAACAAGGAGGCAGTTCATTGAACTGACAGTGACCATACAGTAAATAGAAGGAGGTTTAAGCTTCACTGCTCACCCAAGCACACAGCTAAGCTTTTGTATATAACCACAATGGACATAGCATAAGGTCTCTGTTTATTTTTAACAATATATAGCAATGTATGCAAGTAATACACGTATGTGAAATGGACAAGTAGCACAGAAAAAGAAATCCCTGCTGTAAGTAACAGGCCATCCCTACCTTGGGAAGCTCTTTTACAAATGCCTGGGGAAAGGAAACAAGTCATATGCCAATTGCCACAAAAGTAAGCAGCCACACTTGAACACATCTGGAAAGTGCTGGGATCCAACCATGTGGGTGAAGACCCATGTCTCTACCTTGAGGATTCAAGAGAAATCACATGGAATGGGATTTTCTTTCTTCACTACCCTTCCTGCCCCCACTCTCACCCAACTCCACCCTAGCAATGTTAGTTGCTCTTGTCGGTAAGTGCTGTCAAGTCATTTCCGACTCATAGCAACCCAGTATGACAGAGTAGAACTGCCCTATAGGCTTTCTTGACTGTAAACTTTATGGAACAAGTCACCAAGTCTTTCTCTTGTGAAACCAACAACATTCCAGTTAGAAGCTGAGCACCTATTTGTGCCACAGGGCTCCTTTGAATCTTATGTTGTATAGACTAAAACTCACGGTGCCATGTGTGCAGAAGAGAACTGCTCCATAGGCTTTTCAAGGTTGTGACCTTTTAGAAGCAGACTACCATGTCTGTCTTCCAAAGCACCTCTGCCTGGAATTGAACCACCAACTCTTCCTCTGGTGGTTGAGCACTTAAGTGTTTGCATCACCCAAAGTCAGAATCAATTCAATGGCAAGAAACAGCAGCATAGACTAAAAGAGAATCAACCATCATGAGAACATTCAGAAGCATCAAACCCTACATAGAATATCTTCATATTTCTGAGCCGTGGCTTTGCATCATTAGCTAGCTTATTAGGTTTGCTCCGAGAGTTCTCATACTTCCGGGATCACTTTTTGAACATGTAAAAGGGAAAGCATGCATTATTCACTTTCAACCTCTCACAACAGGGAACACGAGAAACTTTGTCAGTTGGCTATGTTTCTCCCAGCCACCCAGAGCAAGGTTGTTGTGAAGCATCATGTTCTAAATGGCTTACGACCAAAGAATTGTTCTAGCAGGATTGGCTTCCCAGTGGCTCTAACTGCTTGTGAGTTAAGTCAAGTGGGACATTACTGTAT